TCTTCTTCTTCTTCTTTGGACGGAAGAATTAATGAGGAAATCATCGAAACCTCCTTCCTAGGGCGTCTATTCTGATGCGCGGTGCGGGGGAGATTCGGGAAATTAGAAACTGGAGGAGTCGATAACTCGCTTGCTCTTTCAAAGCTAGTTAATTTTTCCCGAATAATTTCTTGGTATGTTTTTCGTAAAGTTTCTTCTCCAGCGCGCTTAGCAAGAATTTTTTGTGTTGCTTCATCTCTTGAAGTTAAAATTTCTTCTAATTCTCTCTTGTTTGAAAGATCAAAACTATCTAACAACTTTCAAATATGAAATTCCGCAAGTAACTCATTAACAATAGAAACCAATAAATTTACTTTTTTATTTTCATCAATTTCATCAATTTGCTTAAATTTCCTGTGTAATAGTTCAAAAATATTACTACTTTTAAAATTTTCACTAAACTTCCAACAGGAATAAACTCCTATTCCAAAACTCTTCAATTTTAAAAATACTTCAAAAAGATCATTGCTTGGGTAGTCTCAATCTTTTCCAGACGAAAATCCGTCTGTTTCATAATCAGTAATTTTAATTTTTGGGAATAACTCCTCTCTTTCAATTTCAATAATTGCCATAAATTTATCGATTTAGTTCAATAATTTAGGTTAGAAGTAGCAAACTAATTATCAATAAAATTATTTCAAGATTAAAATTAAGATTAATCCTTTCATAACATAGTCAATTCCCAATCATAGGCTAGACGATATTTAGACTTGAAAAAATTATCTTAGTTTATATAATCATAGTTTTATAAACAAACTTGACAGATTAAAAGTAAATTTTCTTTCGAAAGGAAAAACTCTTTCCTGGAAGAAATCCTCAACTTAATAAACTAGGCTAAATGACTGCGTAAAAAAATTCCTACGATAAAGCTTGAGAGTTTTTTTCTTCTTTTTTAACGATGATTTTCAAATTTTCTCCTTTTTTGTCTTCAACAATAGCATCAGCCACTAAATTAGCGAAAAAACTAATAGCTTTTACACTTTCATCATTACCCGGAATAACATAATCAACTAAGCGCGGATCACAAGTAGTATTACAAATAGCAATAACCGGAATACCAATTTTCTTGGCTTCACGAAGAGCAGTTTTTTCCTTATTAAGTCCAATAATAAATAAAGCGCCTGGAAGTTTTCGTAAATTAACTACTCCTTCATAAACTTTTTGCAATTTATCTCTTTTTTTTTCCAAAATTACTTGTTCTTTCTTTATTAAATTTTTAAAACTGTCTTTTTGGAAAAAATTATCTAGTCCTTGCAATTCTTTTAATTTAGTTCTTATTACTTCAAAATTAGTTAAGAATCCTCCCTTTCACTTATTAACAATATAAGGCATTTTGCACCTAATTGCTTGTTCTTTAACAATATCACCAGTTTGTTTTTTAGTCGATAAGAATAAAATCGTCTCACGTTTTTCAACTATCGACCTAAGATATTTTCCGACTTTTTCACAACTACTAACAATTTGTTGTAAATCAATGACATGAAAATTCCTATTTTTATTATAAATATAAGAACGCATTTGCGGATTTCACTTTCGTGCTAAACTACCAAATTGAACTCCGGCTTTAACTAATTCGTCTTTATCAAATGTGATCATAGAAATATATTAAGTATTTTATTCAAATTATTGATTTATTCTATCAATAAAACTTATATTTTTAGTTTCTAATTGATTTCTAGTTATTTCGAGAACAAATGTCTGAAAGAGAAAATTTATGTTGTTTTTTGTATTATAATTTCAAAGTCCAAACCTAGTAATTATTAACCAAATCAAGAAAAATAAATGTCTCTTTACGAAATAAATTTAAAGATTAGCTATTTTTTTTTCTACTTCATAATTAATCAATTTTTGACATATTTCTCCTAAATCCCCTTCTATAATAAAATTGAGTTTGTTTCAACTCATTCCTAAACGATGATCAGTAACTCGATTTTGAGGATAATTATAAGTACGTATTTTTTCCGATCGTTCAGCAGTACCAATCGACGAAGAGCGTAGATTGCCAACCTCTTTTTTTCTTTCGTTTTGCAATTTTTCTCAGATGCGGCTTTTTAGGACAGTTAGAGCTCTTTCTTTGTTTTCGTGCTGACTTCGTCCATCTTGAGAAGTAGCGGTAATGATTTCGATTTTGCCGTCAGAGGTATGATAAGTATAAGTAACCTTTACTGCTGAATCGGTAGTATTAACATGCTGACCCCCGGCCCCACTTGATCTACAAGTCTCAATCAATAAGTCTTTTTTTTGAATATTCAATGATATTTCTTCGGCTTCGGGAAGAATAACGACGCTGGCAGTGGAGGTATGAGTCCTTCCTTTGTTCTCCGTTTTAGGAACTCTCTGGACGCGATGAACACCCGCTTCATTTTTTAAAAAATTAAAAACTTTGCTTCCTTTTATCATAAAAGAAACAAGAATAAAATTTCCGCCGTGATCCACTTTACTCTCGGCTATTTCTAATTTTCAACCTTTGCTTTCGGCAAATTTATAATACATATGATAAAGATCACGAGCAAATAATCCCGCTTCATTTCCGCCAGTACCGGGACGAATTTCCATCACAATATTTTGCTTAATTCCTTCTTCAATAGTTATTTGGTCCTTGATTTTATCAATTAATCTTTCTTTTTGTTCTTCTAACCTTTCAACCTCATCAAGAAGGAGTTTATTTTCCTCTTCACTTGATTCTTTAATCAATTCTTGATAAGCTTTTTGAAAATTATCTATCTTTTCATATTCTTTTTTATCTGCTAATAGCAAATTCTTTTTTTTATTACTTATCGTCGAAAGAAGAGGAATTTTTTCTAAATAAGCGATTATTTTTTCTTCCAATTCCTTGTTTTCAATCAATTTTCTTTCCATATTTTTAACGATTCCGAATAGCTACGGAAAAGTATAAATAATTTAACTAATAATTCAAAAGAAAGATTAAAATTTTTTTTATCTTTCTCGGTTTTCCTTTTCAATTTAGGGATAATTATTCAAAATTTTTTGATGTTTTTGAAATAAACTTTAATACCGAAATAAAAAATCCATTAAGTTATCAAAAGTCCAGTTAGTTGTTTAGTGATAGTTGCCTTTAGTTGACTGTTCTTGAAACTATCAATGAATGCTGGATAAAAAGTTAGAGAGAGAAAAACCACTAAGTAAAATTTGTCTAAATATCAAATAAAAAAAAGACAACGCAACACTTTTTTATTTGATAAATTTATTAACAAAAATCTTTGAAAATTTTATCACGTAAATTCTTAAACAAATACCCTTTTTCATCAAAAAGTATTCCTTCCTTTTCTAATTTACTCTTCTTATCTTTGATTTCTTTCCCTTCGCCTCATTCTCCACGAAAACCACCAATAAAGTAGTTAGTAGCAATAACGCGATGACAAGGAACAATTGCTGATAAATAAGGATTATTTTTGAGAACTTGTCCGACAGCGCGTGGTGAGACACTAAGGAATTGTGCAATGTGCTTGTAAGTAGAAAACTTCCCCTTGGGTATTTGAGAGCACAAATTATAAACTCGGTGGGAGAAATTACTAATTATTGACTTTGACATTACTTTATTTAATAAAACTTATAACCTATTTGTCTCATTAAAGCATATTAAGATATTAAGAAAAAAAATCAATAAGAACAATAACAAAAAATGTGTCGATATATCAAAAGTTTTAAACTTTTTCTTTAACTTTTTGGGCTCGTTGGCGAAATTTTTCAACCGCCCCAACTTTAATTTCACTAGCAGAAGTCCCAGTATAAAAAGGATTACAATTACTACAACTTTCTATCCTAATATTTTGGACAGAAGTCGAAGTATTCTGATATTCTTGATTACAAGAAATACAATGGAAAATAGTTTGGTGAACTGGCAAATGAATTTTTTTTTTCATATTATATTAATTTTTAATAGAATTTAGTTGTGAATTTCTTTAATAAAAAATTTTAATTTGTGGAAATCTAAACCGGAAATTTCTCTAATTTCTGAAAAAAATACTTTTCAATAACTCTCGGTCCTACACAAAAAGCAAAAAAATTTCACAAATCTCTAAATTTATTTTTGTCCGTTAAATAGTTTTTCAATTATTTTTTTCTTTAAAAATTAACAATTATTTAAAACAGTATTAATTCCTCTTATTACTAAATTAATACACTCGACACGATTAGGAAAATTAGATATATCACTAAAAAGTTCTAATTTTGGATAATCATTCAAATTATATTCTTTTTTTTCTACCATTCTTTGACAATTATTTAGCAATTCTCAAACTAATTTAAGTTTTTTTTCTTCTAAATATGAGAAAAAAATATTTGCAAAAGCAACCGTAATTAAGCAAGATTGTCGAGCTGAGAAAAAGCATTTTTCTATACCCTCATCTTTCTTACTAATAAGCAAATGGATAACATCACCGCATCCTTGATCTAAACTGTGAAAAGTAGAAAAAGACTCCTGCGAATTATCACTAATTTTCTTTAATTCTTCTAATTCTATTTGTTTGCCAGGATAATTATAATTATCTAATATAATTTTTCTTTTTTCCTCTGGAGAATAAAACATGCCTTTTAATAATTCATCAATTCTTTGAGACTAATGTACTCAATTTCGGTTTCTCATTTTTCTTGTCCTTGATTTTTTAGAAATTGTTTCAACTGTTTAATATCCATATTCATTAAATTAATTGTTTTTCAAGAAGATAAATTCTCATCATTAATGATTTCTTTCAAAGAAAATTCATCACTTCGAAAATTTAAATCTTCAGGATAACTTTGATAAAAATTGGCGAAGTTAAAATTTTTCTCATAAATATTTAAATCTTCTTCACTTCTATTTGTGCAACAAAAATAGCAAATTGTCTTAGGATATCCTCTCTGACCAAAACGATTTAATCTTTTAAATCCCAAACACTTGATACATCTTTTTTTAGGATCTAGTACGATGGTTTCCGCTCTTTTCATATAACTATATTTGGCGGAAGTGAGAGGATTTGAACCTCCGCGGATGCTATTAACATCCCTACTAGCTTTCCAAGCCAGCCTCTTCAACCACTTGAGTACACTTCCTTCGTAACTTCTCTCCAAAGATTTTTGAAATTTCTGCAAAAATTTTTTAGTTGGATATTAAGAAAAAATAATATCAAACAACTAAAAAATTCTGACTAATAAAAATAATTACCGAAGAGAATTAAACTCTCTCCGAATAATTAAGCACTAGTATTTTTTACTTTTCTTTATTTTCTTGATCGTCTTCTTCACTGAAAAAGTCATTTCATCAACCTTTAATACTTTCTCATTTGTAAATCACACCAGCAATAACTATCAATGAAACTCAAACAGGAGCATAGTATCCCATCGCGAGATAGTCCATAAAACTCTTAGGCTTATCATCACCGCCAGTAGTAATTTCATTCAAATTAACATCTATTTTATTAGTTGTTCGTTGTTTATCACCATTAGCAAACTGGTACAGAACCCCTTCAATTTCGACACTAGTCAAACTTCCGGTTGGTTTATTAAGCACCTTTCGCACTTGGCGTTCCTCTTGAGTTTTTTGTCACATTTCTTCTCCAGGTAGTAATAAATGATCATACTTATACTTTTCAATGGAAGTAATAACTTCTTTTGGTGATTTGGAAGTAATTAGATCTTCTAAACTAGTTACGCCTCGAGGTGTAATGAATGTTATGAAATCATCCTTGACCTTTTTAATACTATTTTTTTCCTCAATAACAATTTCTAATAATTTTTTTATTGTTTCTTTAGTTTTAATCTTTTTGTTGGAAGAATCTGCTATTCATTTACCAACAACAACATCGTTAAAGGCTGTTTCCAAGACTGGAAGAAGAGTTTTTACTTCTTCTCTTATTTGTGCAGCAGCAGCAGCTTTAGCAGCATTTAAAGTAGCGATGTTAGCAGTAACTTTTAAATCATAATCAGTGCCATTATAATTTACTATTCCGCTTTTATCAGCTTTTAATTCACTAGCCTCAATTCGAGGGGTGGCATTAAAAAGAGCTGCAGCTTGAGGCGCAGCTAAACCTTTATCGTAGTATGCATCAATTTGGGCATCAGTAGCAGTAGTGGAAGCACCAACAATGCCTTTGAAATCATTTCTAAAATCTGTTAATATTTGTGATGTTTGTGTCATATTCTTCTTTTATTGTGTAATTTTTTCTTAATTTTATCCTTTAATTAGTTTATTAATATATTTTCAATTTTCATTACTTACTTGTGAACTATCAACTCTAATATTCTATTTTTCTAATGGTGGATCTGATCGGATTTGAACCGACTACCTTCTGATTGCAAAACAGATGCTCTGCCAATTGAGCTACAGACCCTAAATAATATTAATTATATTTTCTTAATCTCATTATCGAATTAACCCGATAAACTATCATTTCGACAACAAAACTTTTCTATATTTTTTATTACCAAAAGTACTGTTTTGTTTTTTTAAAAATTTTTTCAACTATTTCTTTTAAATAAAAAGATGCCTTAATAATGCAAATTTTCTTTCATGCCGACTTATCTTATTTTTATCACTTTTCTAAATTAAATTCTAGAAATTAACCTATTTTTTTAACTTTCTTTCTTTGTTTCAGTCTTCGAATAATATCAAAGTACCAAATAGCAAATGCCATTCCACTTATTCCTAAAACTGTTAATCCTATAGGTAAAATATCTTTCAAAAAACTAGAATCATTGTTTTGATCGTTTTTTTTACCACCACTTCATTCCAATAATATTTCTTCAAAATTATTTGTGTTTTCATTTCAAAAAAATTTTTCTCATTTATCTTTACTTTTTTTTAATGACATAATTTCTTGACGAAGCCTAGCCATTTCTTCCTTATTATCCTTATCAACTCGGGTGGCTCTAGAAAATAAATTATTCACTACTTTTCCAGTTCGTTTTTCATTAATATTATCTCTAACTCTTTCTTCAATCTCTCGAGATTCTTGCAAACTTGCCGCATTTTGAATAACTTGAGCAAAATCACGATTCTGTTCATCTAATTCATAAATATCAATAGAAGGATTATTTTGAAGAATAGCGGTTAAAGATGCAATAATATTTCTTTGAACTTGAATTTTCTGAGCATGAGTGGAATAATGTTTTTCTAATTCTTCAATGACTGAAATTGACTCTAGATAAATTCCAGTATTTTGATACTTGCTTTTAATTTCAACTAGAAACTCGCCTAATCTAGTAATTTCATTATTATTTTTGGCAGTTTGAGCTGAAACAATTAATTGTTTTAATCCACCTCGCTGAATTTTATTTCTTCTCCTAACGACGATATCGGATAAAATTTTATCCCTAATTTGTTCGATAATACTCTCTTTCGTTTCCCGATTAATCCTATCCTCTCAATTAATTTCACTTAACTCACTAACTAAAATTTCAGGTTTTTTACTTAAACTACTTTTAATAAGATTAATAGTATTAGCACGAATCACTTTAATATCTAGACCTGGAGGAGTTGAACCTGGAGGAGTTGAACCTGGAGGAGTTGAACCTGGAGGAGTTGAACCTGAATCACCTAAACCAAAACCAGTATCATTCTCTTTTGTTCTTTTGCATTCCTCGGAACAATAAGTTTTATTTTTATCTTTTTCACCTTTGTATCATCCTCTTTCTTCTTCTTTTCTACAAACATAACATTCATTACACTGCTTAGGATTTTTGCCAACACTTGTAAGATATTCAAATAAGCAATATTCAGTGCAACACCAGTTAGTATCAGTAGGATTTTTAGGGTTATACTTAACTCAATGACTAGTGAATCTTTTATCTCGTTTACAACCAAAGCAATTTTTCAAAGTAATACCTGGTGGAGGTGTTGATGATGAGGCGGGTGGAGTCTTAGCTCCCTCTGGATATCCGTGAACCTCAACAGTATATAAATTTGCCCCTTCTCAATCATTAGCACAAGCCTCCGAACAAAAATAACGCTTACTTATCTCTGACTTATAACCATAACGCCTCGAAGTTTCCGTTCCTTTTGGATGTGCGTAACTAATGCATGTTGATCCAATACAGGGAAAAGGAATATATTCATAATTATCATCATACCTTTTTCGCAAATCATCATCGGTTAAAACACTTCAAGAATTATTGATATCACTTCATCGATTTTCATCAACTTTTGTAACTACTCGACCTTTTATTTTATCCGGATGAAATTTAAGAACTAATTCCTTACGAAATCTCGCGTTGATGTCTTTTTTTGAAGCAGTAGTAGAAATTCTCAGAATTTCATAATAATTGATATGATATTGGCACATACATTTATATATATATATATATAATTATATAATTTTAATGGTGGATCTTGGTGGACTTGAACCACCAACCTCTCGATTATCGGCCGAGTGCTCTAACCAATTGAGCTAAAGATCCTTTATTTTTATTAATAATATTTTTTTATACCTAAACTTTTAAATATGGATGGTCTACTACTAATTGATAAACCAACTAGCCTCACTTCTCACAAAGTTATTGAAATTATTCGGAAGAAATTAAAGATAAAAAAAGTTGGTCATGCTGGAACACTTGATCCATTAGCAACTGGCTTATTAATAATTATGTTAGGGAAACTTACTAAATTAAGTAATTTTTTAATCAGCCAGTTCAAAACCTATCAAGTGGAAATGGAATTATTTATAGAAACCGATAGTGGTGATATAACTGGAAAAATCACTAGAAAAGAATACGAAAATAGTAAATTAGAAAAAGAAAAAGTCCAAGAAGTCATTAATTCTTTTCATAACTATACTTACTGACAAACCCCCCCCATTTACTCTGCCATCAAAATAAACGGCAAAAAATTATATGAATATGCTCGAAAAGGAGAAAAAATTGCTATTCCTCCTCGCCAAGTAATAATTAAAAAAATCCAATTATCAGAATATATTGTGGAAAAAAATATAATCAGTTTAGAAGTTGAATGTAGCAAGGGAACATATATCCGTAGTTTGGTTGGTGATATAGCAAATAAATTAGAAACTATTGCCACTGTAATTAAGTTAAGAAGGATTAGTTCCGGAAATTTTCATATCAATCAAGCAGTAAAATTAGAAGAAATTGATGAAGAAAGAATAATTTTCTGAGAAAAATAAGTAGTTAATGAATTTTCAGAATTAGGGGAAAAATTATAATTTTCTCCATATTTAATCCAACTTGATTTCTAAACTATTTTTCTCTATTTCCAAACGAAACTGACAAATATAACTAGTTAGCTGTTTATTATTTTGGTTAATTCTTGAAAAACAATAACATTATTTCTTGTTTAATTTCCTCAAAGTATTAGTTTTTATTTTCTATATTCTTAATATTTCTCTAGTCGTGATTATTTCTTTGGTTAATATATTAAGAGTTTTTTTAAAATTCTAACTTTCTCATACAAAAATAGAATAATATAGAAAACCATTTCTGTATAGGGAGATATACCCAAGAGGCTGAAGGGGGTAGTTTCGAAAACTACTAGGTACTTAATCGGTGCGCGGGGGTTCAAATCCCTCTATCTCCACCAAAATAATATTATAATGTTAATAGTCCTAGTTGGTATTCCTGGCTCTGGTAAATCTACCACAGTTAAAAAATTAGCTTCTTTAATGAAAATTAAATGCTTTGTTGAACCCGAGGAAAAAAAATGATCCGATGCTGCTAAAGATTGAAAAACTTATGGTAGTTTTTCTATGCTAATGTGATTTCGTTCAATAAGAACTCCTATGCTAATCAAAGCCGATGAACTAAGCGAGAATGGTGAAACAGTCTTAATTGACACTTATTATGATAAACTGCTTCATTATTATATTGATAAACATTGCATGCGCTGATTACTTTCCCCTTCCGACCGCTACTTTCCAGTGATGAAAGAAATAGCAGCCATTGATAAAGATATCTTGCCGGATGCTAACATCATTGTTTTTTTTGAAGTAGAAAAGGAAAATTGACTTAAATTTTTAAAGACTAGAAATAGAAATACTGACAATGAAGAGATTTTTTTGAAAAATTTTGAAACACAAAAATTTTTATTGGAAGCTACCCAAAAATTATGTGAAGAAAGAGGTATAGAACTAATAATTTTCCAGAAAGGTAATCTTTCGCCCGAAGATTCAGCTAAAAAAATTAAAGAAATATTAGAAATTAGATTAGAAAAAAAACAGTAAATTATTAAAAATAAATACATAATAATAATAAACGGGAAGTAGCCGAACGGTAAGGCACTTGGTTTGGGACCAAGGGATAGCAGGTTCAACTCCTGTCTTCCCGACCATGATATAAAAATTATTCCTCGAATTTTCTAATGTCAAAATGTCATCAATGTAGTCAACAATTACTAAGAACTCCCACTGATAATGAAAAGCCTTTTTATCGCATATCCGAATTAGGAAAACTTAAAAATTTTTGCTTGCCTTGTTGAAGAAAAGAAGAAAAAAATTGTCGCTCAAAATTTACTGAAAAGGATGATAGCATTAACTACGGTTTTATTACTAAAACACTTAGAGGCAAATATCTCTTTTTTTCTAGTAATAAGTTTAGTAACAATAATTTTGTTAGGAGTTATCAATTATTTTTCCAGTCGAAAAACCAATAAATTACAACAAAAAAACATAAAAATAAATGTTAGACCTTAATAAATTCTTTACTGATTTTAACTCCTTAGTTGATAATCTAGGAAAACGCGGAATAAACAGAAAGCAATTAATTACTATTAAAGAAAAATTGGCAGACAAAAAAGAGTTGATTGAAAATATTAATAATCTTCGGTACGAAAGAAATAATTTAAGCCACGGAGGTCAAAAAAATGCTGAAAAGGTAAAGGTAATTAAAAACAAAATTACTATTCAAGAAGCAGAACTAGACAAAATTTCTTATGACTTGGATAATTTAACTAATCAACTTCCTAATCTCGCAGCCCTAGACACTCCCACTAATCAAGAAGGCGATCGAATTATTGACACTACTGAATATCAACACGATATTCAACATAACTTAACTCAAGAAAAAATATTAAAAAAATTAACTTTAATCGATGAAGAAAAAAGCATTCTTCTTTCAGGTAGTAAATTTGCTGTTTATCAAGGATTTGGTAGTGAATTACTACATGCTCTTATTAATTTCATGCGAACAGAAAACAGTAAGCGTGGTTATCGTTTATTTGATACACCATATTTAATAAATGCTCATAATCTTTACAATACCGGTCAAATTCATAAATTCCAAGATAATCTTTACAAATTAGAGGAAAGTAATTTTTATCTTCTTCCTACTGCCGAAGTTAGTTTAGTCAACCTTTATCAAAATCAAATATTAACCGAAGAAGTTCTTCCCTTAAAATTGTGTGCTTATAGTCCGTGTTTTCGGGCCGAAAGAATGGCAGCAGGTCAAGAAAATAAAGGATTAATACGCTTACACCAGTTTCATAAAGTTGAATTAGTAAAAATAGTTAATCCAAAAACTTCTTATGAGGAGTTGAAAAAAATAGTGACAGATGCTCGAAATATCCTTCATTCTTTGAAAATTCCCCACCGAGTAATCGAACTTTGTTATGAAAATTTAGGATTCGGTGCAACTAAAACCTATGATATCGAAGTTTGATTGCCAGTTAGCAAAAAATGGTTAGAAATCTCTTCTTGCAGCAGCTGTGAAGATTTTCAAAGTCGCCGAGGACAAATAAGAGTGAAAAACGGAGAAGGCAAAAAATATTTTCCTCACACCCTTAATGGTTCGGCATTAGCAATAGATCGTTTAATTATTGCTCTTTGTGAATATTATTATAATGAAAAAGAAAATAAATTAATCATTCCGGAAGTTTTACAAAAATATTTTTTTAACGTTACATTTTAGTATTTTCTTACTTACTTGTTTTTTTTCTTTTTTTTATTTCTTCGAAACAATACTTACAGATTTTACCATCTTTAGTTTCACCACCCAAATATTCTTCTTTATAAGGCATCTCTCTCTAAATTGATTTGAATTTTTGTTGTTTTTGTATTTCTCTTATCATATTATGATTTCAAAAACATTCACTAATCTCTTAATTTAGCACCAAAATTCTTTTGCAAATTTTCACTAATAACCTTGACAATTTCCTCAATTTCTTTCTTTTCTAGTGTTTTCATAGAACTTTGAAAAGTTAAACGAAAAGATACTGATTTTTTTGAAATTTCCGACATTTTAACACTTTGGTAAACATCAAAAATAATTACTTCTTGTAAATCGTTGCCACCTCATTTCTTTATTTTTTTAATAACCTGATTATAATCAATATCCTCTGGAAAAATAACTGATAAATCTTTTTCACTAATAGGAAAACTAGAAACTGGCTTATATGAGATTTTTGGAGACAATTTGCTAAGATAATCGAATATTTTGGTTAAAGAAATTTGAGCAATGAATACAGGTTGAATTACTTGGTATTTTTGAGTTAAATTTTGATTAATTTCCCCTAAAAAACCTATCTTTTCCTTTTCCTCCCCCAAAAATATTTCGATGCTTTGGGAAGAAGATAAATAATCAAGAGAATTTGGAACAAAGTAAATTGCTGTTTCTAATTGCCAACAAGCAAAAATATTTTCCGCTACTCCCTTTATTCAATAAAAATCTAATTCTTGATTTAAGTTATGAAAAGGTTGATTAAATATTTTTCCTAATCCACTGATAATAAGTAATTTTTCGGATAATTCACTTCCATAAATTGAACTTATTTCAAAAAATCGTAAATTCTTATTACCATGAGAAAGGTTATATTTTAAAGTTTTTAAATGGCTCGGAATAAGATTTTGACGGTAATACTGATGATAATCATTTTTAGGTTTCAATAACCGATAAAAAGAATGCTTACTTTCACCAACTTCTTCTTTCATATCTCCCGAAATAAGAGAATAAGTAATAACTTCTTGTCAACCACAATTGGCTAAATAAGTGCGGAGATTTTTAATTTTCAAATCATACTTATTAATGCCAAAAGAAGTTGATTTTAATTCAGAAAAATTATAACTAAATACTTTATTGTAATCATAAATCCTTAATAATTCTTCCAATAAATCCTCAGAATTAGCAATATCTAAGCGATAATCAGGAACCTCAATATAATAAATATCGTCCTTTTTTTGATAAAAAAATTTCAATTGTTTTCAAAGACTTTCAATAACTAAATAAGTAAGTTCCTGACCAATTCTTTTCTCAATAAATTCTTGGCTAATTACGATTGTTGAGATTTTTGTTTTTTCTAACTCCTTATAAGTAAAAATAGACCAAGAATTTAAAATATTCTCTTGTTCATTGATAAGAGAAAAAAATCTTTGGAGGATTTTTGGAAGAGAAGAGATTGAAATACTTCCTCGAGAAAAATATTGACTAGCGACAGTAGAAATATTTAAACGTCGTGTAGTATTTTTAATTGCCTTTGAATTGAAAGAAGCGCATTCAATTAGTATGTTTTTAGTTTGCCAATTCACCGCTGTTTCCTGAGCACCAATAATTCCAGCAAGATCAATAACTTTTTCTCCGGAACTTATGATAATATCTTGGGAATCAAGGAGAAGCTTTTGCCCGTGAAGAGAATTAATAACTTCTCCTTTAATTGATTTGCGAACAATAATTTTTTTTTTACTCGATAAACTATCGTAATCGAAGACATGAAGGGGCTGTCCGCTTTCCATCATTACTAAACTAGCAATATCGACTAAATTATTAATTGAATTAATACCATTCACTTTTAGATACTCCTTTATTAATGGAGAACTTTCTTTAATTTTAATATTTTTTATTAGCCCAAGATAAAAAGCGCGACAATCATCATTTTTGATTTCAACTTCAATTAATTTTTCTTTAATTTCTTCTATATTTAGAAAATTAATTGGTTTAACTTGACAATTGATTATAACTGCTATTTCTTGAATTATTCCTCACCACGATAATAAATCAAATCGGTTAGGAAGCGGATCAAACTCAAAATATAAATTTTTGTTCTTTTCGATTACCTTGGCTTCTAAACCACAATAAGTTAATTTTTTCGCTAAATCGCTTGGAGTAAAAGGTGGTAAATAAAGATGTTCTTTTATATATTCTCAAGGTATTAAAGTCATATTATACTTTGCTAAAAATATATAAAATTCGACACATTTTTCTCTTAAATTATTTTTTTAATTCTTTAACAAAAATTAAAATTGATTCTAACATTTAAATTGGTACGGGACAAGGGACTTGAACCCTTATATTCTAATGAATACCAGGTCCTAAGCCTGGCGCGTCTACCATTCCGCCAATCCCGCTCTACTAAAATAGTTAAAATAATCTCGAAAATTTTAACTATTTTTGGTATCCTGCGGCGGACTCGAACCGCCGACCCTCTGCTTAAAAGGCAGATGCTCTAACCAACTGAGCTAGCAGGACCTATTTTATTGATCTATTTTTATTCTTCGCCAAACCATCTTCCAAAATACAAATCTTGGTACTAGAACAAGCAAAAAAACTGGGCAAATTTAAGTTTAATTATTTTTTTTATACTCTCGTCACCATCATAAAAAATAAACAATTAATAAGAACAGATTTAAAAAAAACAGAGCCTTAACCATTCTAATGCAAAAAATCCCAGGAAACCATTTATAATGATTATTTGATAAGTGTAAACAAAGCAACGAGATACTAACTATTATACTAATATTTACTAGATATTGGAGTCAATCGACTTTCTTTTCATTCTTCATACGTTAATTTTATGGCTGGGGTGGCTGGAATTGAACCAACGATCAAGGAGTCAAAGTCCTTTGCCTTACCACTTGGCTACACCCCAAAAATGTTGTTGCTTTTCTTGGACTCGTTGCTGATTAATGCTAACTTTTTTTAAATAAATATCCAATAATTCTTTTCTCGCAAATTAATTCGAAGTAATAAAACTACTATTATTACAGAAAAATATTACGCCCCCAATATATTTCCTCTCATTTTTTTATTTACATAGTTTTTATTGAAAACTATATTTTAAAATATATTATTTAGTTCATAATTTTTTTTCTAGGCTAAATAATTTTAAAGTGTTAGAATAAATTATGTTTGCTGTTTCATTGAGGCCTTGGTTTTTAATTTCAGCAATTTTTTTTAGAGTGTAGATTATGTTTTGGGGATAATTAATTTGTCCTCGTAATGGTTCTGGACTTAAATAAGGAGCATCAGTTTCAATCAATATTTTTCCTAGTGGGATTTTTTGGATTACTTCTCCTCATCTTTCTTGTCATTTGCCATTCTTGTAAGTAATATTGCCAGCAAAAGAAATATGGAAACCCAAATCGAGAAACTTTTGGGCTATTTCTCAGTTTCCGGTAAAGCAATGAAGAACACCTTTATTTATTTCTGTTTCTTTCACAATTTTATAGGCATCTTCAAAAGCTTCACGAATGTGTAATAAAACTGGTAGGTCATATTTTTTTGCTAACTCTAATTGTTTTTTAAATCAAAGTTTTTGTTTTTCAATACTAGCAAAAGTTCGGTAATAATCGAGACCGATTTCTCCAATCGCTATAATTTTTTTATTGGTTAACTGGTTTTCTATTCAATTTAAATTTTCTTCTTCGAGATCTTCGTTACTGTTTGGGTGTAAACCAAGTGCTGCAAATAAATTAGGAAATTCTGCTAATTGTTCGATTACTTTTTGATTAGAGTTTTTGCTTTCGCCAACATTTAAAATAAATTTTACTCCGGCTTGTTCGGCTGCTTGAATAATAATTTTAATGTCTTGACTTTGGTATTCTTCATCGGCTAAATGACAATGAGTATCAAAGATAAGTAGTTTATTCATAAAGATTAATGCTTTTGTTAATATTTTAAAATAAGTAGATTTTGCTAAATTATTCTTAACTTTGTTTAATTCTCTTTATTTTCCTTATCATCGCCACTATTCACAAAATACCTAGCAATTAATCAAATTAAACCTGCTACTACAACATAAACAATAAAAGAACTTAAAATCACTTCCCCCCCAAGTCATTATTCTTTTCACTTCGTTGATTTCTATTGTATATTTTTCTGGTTTTGCTTTATATCCCACTAATGAAAGCATCATTAAAGTAATATCTAGTCCTCAGTATATTTTTTCTCATGTTTTCATTTTTATAATGTTATTTTTATATTTATATATTTTGTTTTTGGTGGGAGGAGAGGGATTCGAACCCCCGGTTTTACTGATCTACAGTCAGGTGCAATGGGCCACTCTGCCATCCTCCCTCTTAATCCCATTTTCTTCGGAAAATTACTCATTTTTATTATTAATTATTATCTAAAATTTTCACCTAACTAAAAAAATTTTAGATAATTATGAAAAAAATTAAAAATGGTGCTGATTGTAGGAGTTGAACCCACAACCTACCGCTTA